GCATGTGGTTGTTTGCAGTATTCATTTCCTCGCAGGCCGGACATTGGAGGCTGCTCCCGGCTCACAGCTCACTGGGTCCTACACAGCGGCTCACGGCAGCTTCTTCAAGCCTGGCGGGGGAGACAGGCCCCCAGCAAGGCCCACGCTGCAATTCCCTGCAATGCAGCCATGAAGAGCGTGTGTGGTGGTCACCCACCTTGGCTGTGCTCCGTGGAGAGGAGCAGGTCTCAGGTCCTCCCCACACTGAAGAGGAGGGGACCCCACAGCCGTGAGTGCTGGGACATGGGGAAAGAGGTCGGGAGCCCGCGGTCATCTTAGCGTCTGTCCACCACGCCAGGGAGTCCTGTGTAGAGCAGACTTCCTTGAAATTCCGTGGCAAAATTTTGTGTGAAATTTTGCATCCCAGACCTGCACGGTGAGCAATTTAAACCTTGAATATTAGAGAACACTATTCCTACAAAGTCCTGCTCCCTCCCCCAGGGGCAATTTCTCACTGAGGCGTCTGCAGAAGCTCCAAAAGCCCCGTGCTGGCGCCAGATCGCTCAGGACCATCTCCCTCTCTCTGCCTCCCACCTGTGCTGCGCTTCCATCCTCAGCCCTCTGCCCCCCACCCCTGCCACTGCACCTTCGGCATCCCTGCGGGGCAGGAAGGTGTCCACTCTGGACTCAGGTCACCCCCTGAGGAGGGGACTTGGTTACTGTTCTCAGTTACGGGGCTCTTCCATGTGCCTTGTGCCCATGCTCAGCCTCTTGCCCCCTCAGTTCCTCACATTATCCACTAAGATTTGAGGATTTAATGGCCTCTCCCATTGGCCGTTAGCACGCGTAGCATCTCCTCCATGCTCCGGCTCAGGGAGCTTTCGTACACTGCCCACGTGACCACGGCTGCGCGGGGCAGACTCCGGGTCCGCACCAGGAAGTCCACCTGCAGAGCCCATCTCAAGCCACAATGCTCTGCAGCCTCTCCAGAGGCCAGAGTGGCTCAACCAATATTCCTTTTTTCTCTTTCTGTACCCTAGAAAATATCTGTGTTTGTGTCCTTGCCATGCAGAGTGAATAAAGAATAGGACAAACGTTGTCCACGCATACATGGCGCTCTCAACATAGCAGGGAGACGGAAAGGAAGCCAGGGGCCTTCCACACAGCTACTCACTTGCGCTGTGATGACCCGGCTGTACGGGGTGGGGGGGGCGTGGACCTGGGGCCCTTCAGAGGTGGTGGGGGGTGCGTTAGGGAACTTCCCGCAGAAGTGACATTTCAGCTGAATCTTGGAGGATAAGTAGGAGTTGGCAGAGCAGAGTTTTGGGACAAGGGGTGACTGGGGAGAGAATGTGGCTTTGAGGTTGGATGGTTGCAAGGCTTGGTCACTGTGAACACATCTGTCACTGGATGAGTCCTGCAGTCAGGTCCAGGGTGAAGTGACTCACAGAGCTGGGACATGTAAATACCTCTGCTGGGGAAGGAAGGGCCCAGGCACAAGGGCAGGTCCTCTCCACTCATTCTCAGACCAGCATGATTTACCGGGATTTCGAACAGATAGGCAGCCACCAGCTGCGTGTTCCAGAAGGAAGTAGCTGCTTGGACACCACATAAAAGCCAGAATGTGTCACTGCCTAGCAAGGTGGTGGCCTACTGTTGATGGTCTACACAATTTGATGACCAAGCTCACCACACCCCTCTCTCAGTCTGACCTCGGGCCTTGCTGGAGGTGTCTTGTTGGGGAGGACTGTGTGGATCAGATCAGCGGTGTGTCCCCTTGGATGTTCTCAGTTGCTACCAACAAGAAGCAATAAGCCAGCCCAGCTTGTGGGTCATCATAGTTGGAAAGTCCAGATGCAGGTGAGCTCTAGGTATGGTTTGACCATGGCCCTAGTTCTGTGTCTCTGTAATTCTCTGCCCGCTTCTGTGGGTTGATTTCGCCCTCTGGGACTGAGCAGTGAGCAGGACATTTTGGAAAGTCTACCCTTGGCTCAAGCCAGTTAGGGGGCAGCCAGAGAGTGGCCTGTCCACAGGCTGGGCAATGGGGGCTCTGACTTGTACCGCTATGAGAGCAAGACTGGGAGGGAGCTCTTAGGAGGTGTTGGCTGGTGGCCCCTGGGGGTGGGGGTCACTGAAACAGGGACCTTAGTGGCCTGCAAAGTCTGAAGGTGAGAGGCCAGCAGGAGTTGCGTCATGGTGGTGGGGGGAGGGTCTCAGCAGAAGTTACAGCTGAGTGAGGCCCAGGGGCCAGTTTCTGGAGGGGCTGGGAGTGCCTGCTGACAGCCAGCACCTGGACCTGGGGGCCCCCTGTCTCACAAGGACACAGTCCAAGGAGGCTCTCTGCTGGGGGAGGGAATCCCAGCAGAGCAAGGGCTGTGTGTGGGGGTGCCTCAAGGTTGGAGGGCTGTCCTGCAAGGTCAGCTGGAGAGGGTCCCCCCGTCTCCTCCCAGGGGAAACCCAGGAGGGTCCCATGAGAGAAAAGCCAGCCCTGGAGCATCTGCCCCCAAAGCCAGACCACCACCAGCCAGATCACTGGCCTTTTTCTGTTACCCTTGTCACTAGGCCACCCTGGAGGAGCCAGAGTAACTGGAGGAGGAAGAGGAGGGTCTGCAGTAGTTCCAGGCAGGGCCAAATGAAGAGACCACCAAAGGGTCCATTGGCTGTGGGATGGACATGATGGTTCAGGGGAGGCTGGACTCAAATTCCTGAAAAAGGCCCTCTTCCAATAGGTGTGCCCAGGACAAGCACGAGTCTGCCCGAGGTGTGGGCAGGGCCAGGAGGCATGCTGAGGTGGGGCATGGTAAAGCAGGAGGGCTTCTTGTTTGGCCTGTTCAATTTACCTTCAGCCCGGCAGGAAGGACCTGGGCAATATCAGCCCTGTCGGGGAGCATGCTGGGTAGGGCTGGTGGCCTGTGGAGCACCTGCAGGGACAGGCGAGTGTGGATAGGTGAATGGGGGACAAGTAGTTGAGTGTGGACAGGTGAGCACAGGACAGAGAAGCTGGACAGGGGAGACAGGGGAATGTGGATGGGTATGTGTGGATGTGTGAGTGGGTGAACAGCTTAGCATGAGACAGGTGAGTGGGGGAACAGGTTGGGGGAGACAGGGGAGTATGAATAGGTGAGTGGGAGACAGGCGAGCCTGGAACAGGGAAGCTGACAGGAGAGTGTGGACAGGTGATTAGGACAGAGAAGTGTGGACAGGTGACTGGAGACAGGGCAGGAGACATTCTCTCCTTCGAGGCATGAGCCCCCCATCCTCTCCTGGTATCCAGATCCTCTAGGAAAGGGAGACGAAGTCTCTCCACCACCTGGGCAGAATGGGGCAATAGAAACATAAGAACAATTCTCCTGCCAGCAGGCCTGGGTTTGTGGATTAGGAAGTCCCCAGGGGACCCTCAGGGATGGCAGGAAATAATTTAGGGTGGCCCTGCGTTTTCCCACTGGGGCATCCAGGTGAATTGGACGCCCTTAACCAAGGAAAGGAAATGGGCTGATTCACTTGGGCTCACCTGGCCATCCGCTTCTGGCGCTTGAGTCAGAGAGACCCCAGAGAATGGTGTGCTTGCTGGAGCGGGTGTGGTGTAGACGCATGGATGCTACCCCCCAGCTCAGAGCATATCAGGGGTGCAGGGGCGTGCCCCAGCCATAGCCAGGGTGGGCGATAGCAGGGTCTGAGTGGAGGGGTGAGTGGAGGTGAAGGGCTGTGGGAGTGGTCCTGGGCACGCTGCCCGACAATTTGTGGGCCCTGTCCAGGCCCAGGGTGGGGGTCGGGAGCCTCAGCAGAGGGCGGGGGAGGGGGCTGGGGAGAGAGCCTCAGTTAGGGGCGCGGGAGGTCGGTCGGTGGGGAGATGGGGGACAGGCCTGGTGCGGGAGGTCGACTGGGGGCTGCAGCCTGCGGGCGTGCGGCGCGGGGGCGGGCGCGGAGGGCGGCGCCGCTGCAGTGCAGGGACCCGGCTCGCCCGCTGTCCCCGCGTTCCCGCGTTCCTGCGTCCCCGCGTCCCCGCGCAGCCGCCTCCCGGCCTCCGGCACCGCGCATCCAGGTACGCGGTCTGGGGTGGGGTCTGCGCCGGCCCCCCCGGCCCTGTCTCGAGCTGGGCCTCGCCAGGGCCTGGGAGGCCCACCGGGAACGCGGGCGACTGGGAGGTGCCCGGCCCCCTTGAAGCAAGGCGTCTGAGGTGGAACCGGCCCGGTCCGCCAGCCCGGAGAGGGTCCCCGTCCGTCCCCCGCAAACCCTGGCGCCCCAGTCAAGGCCAGCGAGGGTTCCCCCGTCTCCCGCAAACCCTGGCGCCCCGGTTAAGGCCGGGGAGGGTCCCCCCTCGGCGCAGAAGCCAGCGGCCAAGGCGCGGGGTCTGGGGAGGGGGTGGCCTCCCGGGCCTGGGCATTGTGACTTAACCCCGCTCCCGCCACGCTGAGAACGCGCCCCGCCTCATTGTTCTCCATGTTCCATTCTTGAGGAGGTTTCCGTTGTTTTCCTTTTTTTTCCTGTAAAGCAGTCCCCCTCCCCCCCCTCCGTCCCATCCCACCCCCGCCCCTGCCCCTAAGAGCAGCCCCTCTCCCGCCCCTTCCCTCCCCCTGCCCCTTCCCTCCCCCAGCGCCTGAGGGGGCTCCTCCAGCTGGGGCCCTGGTGACAACATCTACATTTCACACAAGTGTCCCTAAAAGGGGGGGATAAAAGCATGACCGTGTAGCACCGGCCTGACGCTGGGGAGGCCCCTTCCCCACTGCAGGTTTCCGGAGCCGCGGAGCCGCGCGTCTTGCCCCGACCCTCTCCGTCCTGCGGGACCTGCGTGCAGGTAAGGCCTTTGGGGTGGTGGTATTTAACAGCTCACCCGGCCCCACAAAATGAAAGATCTTTTACAAATGCAAAATAAACTGCTGTTGCTATGTGGCCCTGTTAGTTGGATTTGAGCACAAACCATAAACCTTATTCTACGCCACGTGCGTATTTCCGAAGCTCAAGGAGCAGCCCCAGCTCCCCCAGCACGTCCCAAGGCGAGTGATTTGCGTTTTCCTCAATAGGGAAGAAGACACCCCCACCATGGCCTCTCCACCCTGTGGGCCCTCAGAGGAAGAGGAGAGCGTGAAGGCGTGTGAGCTGTATGTTCAGAAGCACTGTATCCAGCAGGTACTCAAAGACTGCATCATGCATCTCTGCATCTGTAAGCCAGACCGCCCCATGAAGTTCCTCCGGGAGCACTTTGAGAAGCTGGAGAAGGTAAGTGACTTCCCCTGCCGGGAGTGTCCCTTAGCAGGTGTCCTGTGAAGCTTCCCTCCCGTATCCCATTTTCGAGAAGAAGGTTGGGTGCCCGAGGGGATGCTGTGCTGCAGATCTTTCCAGAAGAAAGGGGAGAGGAGCTGACTAGGGCTGCCCCTGCCTCGTTCGGTCTGCAGGACTCACCCCTTGGCACGATCTTCCAGGCCATGGAATTGCCCCGTCTCTTACCAGAGGGTTCAGGCCTTCAGGACTCTTGTGGGAGGCATCAGGTTTCTAGGCCCAGCTGTTAAACGATGGCTTGTGGGGTTCTCTGACAGCTCCCAACTCGGAGGACAGAGGTGGGGACCAGGTCAATTGTAGATGCCATCGGCACTTGGGATAACAGGCAGTAGCGCCAAACTCTAGGGTGATGTGGGATGTTTGAGGTCAGAGTCCACGCAGATCTGAGTCTCTGAGACTTTGCAACTCCTGGTAGAGGAAAATGCCCCTCGGACTTGTGTGGTGGCGGGAGAAGCACAGGCCTGCCTGACTGTCTCTTGGGGAGAGACCCCATAATTCATTCCTTGGTGAGCGCTGCCTGCCACCCCCTCTGGCCTCCTACATCTGGGTTCTTCCAGTAGCAGGGTGTGGCTGGGGAGCAGGAGGTGGGGGTGTGAGCTGCCCAACACCCCAACCTGCATTCCCCCCACCCTGGGGGCTGGCCCCTGTGGTATTTATTCTGGCTCCCTACCCTAAACTCTCTCTGGGACCATCTAAAGTTTCTCCTCTTGGTCTTTTTATCACAACTTAACTGTCCCTGTCTCAGTCTCCCATGGGGACCGAGTGGGGCCAAGGGAAGCCCAGTTCAGGCTAAGGTCTGCCTTTAAGTGCCTGCGAGCCAGGGGTGCCCATCCAGTGGCGTTTGTGCCTTTGACAGGAGTCTCCTGGTATCACATAGCCCTAACCCAGGAAATGTAAAACAATCTTTTAAAACAATCCTTTTACAAACATTTTAAAGTCACGTGTGTCTTTCAAGAAAATTTGAAAAGTTCAGAGGTGGAAAGAAGAGATAAAAATGCCCTGTAGTCCTGTCTACCCATTTCCCCCTCAGATGTTGTATTTTTAAAAAACATAGTTTTAGCCACATTATAGATGCAGTTTTATATTTTGTATTTTTTCATTTATTATATACTCTTTATAGACCTCACTTTAAGTGACTGCATACTCTTCTGTTGAGAATAGACACTAAAGTTTTCTCAGCCTTTCCCTCGAGTGGACAATTGAGTTGTTTCCATTTTTTTTAGTATTGAAAATTATGCCTTACTAACATATTTGTCCATAGATTTTTTTTTGTATGTAGTATTGCTTGTTTAGGATGGCCTTTCAGAAATAGAATTACTGGGTGAAAATAATTCATCATCCAAGAGCTTTCCGGAATGTGGCATCAGTGTACGTCCCCCCAGCAGGGATGTGACTGTCAGTCGACCCACCCTAGCCAGCTTTGGCTGTTTTCATTTAAAAGGATTTTTTCTTTCTGCAGTTGACAGGTGAACATGGTCATGTGGTTATTCGTGTAGTTGCAGTTTAGCCGAGAAGGGCCAGTGAGGGGTTCTAGTTCCAGGCATGTGAGGAGGGAACTGGGGTGTGGGGACAGGAGGTGTCAGTCTCCTGCAGGTTGGAGAGGCAGAGCCAGGCAGGTGGTGATACATCCTCCACCGTCTTAAACCATAACTTCGTTAGAACTGGAGTTACTGATTAGTTTGTTCACTAGTCACCCCCAGCCAGGTGACCAGTCTCATGGGACAGGAGGTGTTGGCATGGCTGGAGGCCGGGGGCCCAGTGGGAACCCTGAGGTGGGGTCCAGGCCAGACCCCAGCGGAGGCAACTGAGTGAGGACAGAGCCACCACTCTCAGCCAGGGACATTTGGCAATGGCTGGAGGCATTTTTTGTTGTTACATTGGCAGTTGGTTTTGTTATCTTATTGTCACCTAGTCGGCAGAGGCCAGGGGTGCTGCTAAACACCGTACAATGTGCAAGACAGTCCCACAACAAGGCGTTCTGTGGCACCCAAGTCTCAGTGGGGCCAAGATAGAGAAGCTCTGGAATTCTGGACAGTGGTGGTGAGGTCAGGGCCACCAGGGTGCAGGCGGGCAAGGCTTAGCAATGGCAAGGGCATGGGGGGGATTGCAGGTCAGGGGTGATGCCTGGCTTCTGGCCTGGGAGACAGGGAAGACCCAGGAGGAGGCAGCTTGTGGGGGGCAGGTGAGTGTGAACTCTGGGTTCTGTGGGCCCCCATGTAGGGACTTCTGGAAGGCAGCTGGGGACCCCAGTGGGGAGGCGTCCAAGCCAGAGAAGAGAAGCAGGGAGACCAACAAGGAGGCTGTGGCAGGTGTCAAGGCCTGAGCTGGGGGAACTTCCTGGATCTTGGTGTCCTCAGGGATCCTGGAACCATCTCCCATGGGTGCTGAGGGATGACTGTACCAGGGACTGGGCGGCTTAACCAACAGAAATGTTTTCTTTCTGGAGGCTGGAGGTATGAGATCAAGGTGTTGGCAGGGTGGCTCCTTGGGAACTGGAAGGAGAATTGGTTCCATGTCCCTGCAACCCCCAGCTTTTGGGGGTTGCCAGCAGCATGGGTGTTCCTTGGCTTGCACCCTTCATCCTCAGTGGCGTCCCCTCTGTCTGTCTCTGTGTCCAAAGTCCCCCTGTTTATAGGGATACCAGCCATGCTGGATGATGCCCACCCTAATGACCACCTCTGTGAAGTCCCTGTCTCCAAATCAGGTCACCTCCTGAGGTCAGGACTCCAGTGTGTGTATTTTAGGGGGGTAGTTTTGCTCAGGCCACCTCCGACAGCAAACCGTTGCTAGCTGAAAGTGGCAGGTTGCGAGATATCATACCTGGTACGATTCCATTTTTGCTGAAAGTAACGCCAACAATAACTTCTGTGCGCAAAGAAAAAGTCTGAGGGTGTACACCAAATGCTGACAAGAATGGTGTTTCAGGGCAGGACTGCAGGTTATTTCTGTTTCTTTTTTCTATAATAGCTGATAGGTACTAGCTTTTGAGGGGAGTTTGAGAATTCTTGGAGATTGTGTGCATGCTTTTACATGTGGGTGCATTTCCCTGGGAGAATGTCCCTAAGCTTGCAGTGCATTCCCATGTGGATCTGAGATTCCCAACCACAAAGCACCTAGAAGAGCCCTGGAATTCCATGGGAGTCTCACTTCCTGACATGTGCTCTTGTCGGCTGTGGAATGTTTGCAACAGCATGAGGAAGTGCTCTTCTGGGTGGGGTGTAGCCTCAGTGAAGGGGAGGGTGTCTGAGGCCCCCTCCGTCCCCTGAGGCCAGCCAGGGCCAGCCAGGGCAGAAGCCTGGGGAAGGAGTTCTCAGCGTGTATCATAAGCAGGGTGCATGCAGCCTCGATACAGCACAAGGAAGGATGTTGCCTCCTGCACAGACCAGCAGGACAGCCTCGCTCTCTGAGTGCCGCCCCTACCGGAGAGAATGCTTCATCTCTGGACATTTAAGGAAGTTATTCTATGGTGGAGACTTAAGTAGGTAAAATATTCCATATCTGCTGGCCAAATACAGCACTGCAGCCTCCCCACCATGACGCGATCTTTCAGAAGATTGTGTAAAATGAGAAAGTCATCAATCCTTTTAATAATGAATTTTAACTGCTGCAGACAAAGATGCCCCCATAAAAAATACACCCATCACTCTGAACCTATATACCAGCCCAGTGTTTTCTGGGGATTTTTCTTGCTTGCCTGTTGTACACACACACACAAATTATGTGTATAATTTTAGCTTATTTGCATTTTTTGTTTGCTTTTTCTTCTTGGTAGCATTTTTTATTGTGGTAAAATATATACAACATAAAATGTACCATTTTAACTATCTCTAAATGCATGGTTCACTGGCAGTAGGTACATTCATATTGCTGTGTATCCTTTTAGCATTTTTATGGCATCTATGGCCATAAGACAGCAGTCCCCAACCTTTTTGGCACCAGGGACCGGTTTCATGGAAGGGATGAAGTGGGGGGAATGAGGGGAGAGATGGCTATAAATACAGATGAAGCTTTGCTCACCCACTGCTCATCTCCAGCTGTGGCCCAGTCCCTAAGTTTCATGGAAGATAGTTTTTCCATGGACTGGGGGCAGGGTGGAGGGGCAGAGCTCAGGCGGTGATGCACAGGTGACATCCAGGTGATGTGCAGGTGTTGCACAGGTGATGTGCAGCCATGGTGGCCTGGGGATTGGGGCCCATAGCCATAGATATTCCATCGTGTGGATGTGTGTCTAATTTTTATCTTCCTTCCATTGTTTGTGTTTGATGACTTTCAGGGTTTCTTTCCCTTCAGAAAACACTTTAATGCTAACAAACTGATTTAAAAGAAAAAAGGAGCACGTATGCAGATGTTTCAGGGACCAGATTGTGGCACACTTCTGGATATTTCCAAGGTCCATGACCCCTCTAGTCAGTTTGCTCCCAAAGGATGGGACAAATTTATGATTTCTCTGGCACGTGCCACCGTCACCATTGTCCCAAATCCTCAGCAGCTTTCCTCTGATGATGGCTCTGGGGCTAGTTTGGTGGCTCGATCTTACGCCTGGCGTTTACTCCCTGCCCAGGGAGTGGAGCCTCCTTCCGGACACGGGGTCTGCCATGGCTTTCCTCTTTCTGTTGGTCAAGCAACCGGATAGCCTGGGCCAACTCCTTGGTCTTTGGTGAAACACACAAGTTGCACTACATCTTACTTTTGGAAGGAGAGTGCACAGTGGGGAAGAGAGAACCCCGGCTGCCTTTTTTGAGGCTTTCTTGGAGGTGAACATTGACCCGCATGGATGACCATTCCTGGAGGATGGGGTTTCTCCTGGCTGTCGCGTGAGTTTGGCAGCTCTGACCTGAAGTTCAGTGTCATTGCTAGTGACCAGGCTGCACAGGCCATGCTGGTGGCAGACAGGGATGTGAACCGGATGGATCGGGTTACTGAACTCTCACAGGTCTTGG